TGTCGCAACTTTTTGTGTTTCTCGTCACATTTGTAAAAAGAAGAGATTCTCCATTGCGTTTCGAATATTTGTGTAAGGTGGATACACGCGATAAACAAATATACCTACATATATACATATATATATACCCATGTGCGAATGTCGGACTTCTGCCAGAGTTGTCCGCATGGCCCAGAAGTGGCACAATATTGGCTGCCAAGACTTGATGGGTGGCACTGCCCCAGTACGGATAAACCGCTAGATCAGTATTGTGCCAGTCTCGGTGACCAGTACTCCCATGCAACCATATTCTGTTCCGAGGCTGTTCTCGTCTCAGGATTGACCGTGTATAAGGCCAGAAATGATATTGATCTACGGCCGAAAGTCGGCTCAGTACTGGGGATGTATTGGGTCGACTTAGAAAATTTTCGCTTGGGACCGGAGGTAACAACCGCGTAAAAGCAACACGCCGCAAAAGGACTTAACTTTTTGCTCGAGCGGCGCCGGAGGTAACTACCGCGCGAAAGCAATAACATGCCGCGAGGGGACTTAGAAAGCTTTTTGCTCGAGCAGCGCTGGAGGTAACGACCGCGGCGCGGAAGCAACACGCCGCGAGGGGACTTTTCGCTAGAGCCCACGCCGGAGGTAACGACCGCGTTTGTGCCTCTCGGTTACAAGTACCCCGAATTATGGTATCATTCGTCTCGCTTTGCGTTTCGCCTCCGGCGCCCGTAAGCGACCGTGCGTAAGACCGTGCGTCGCCGATCGCTCGGCCGGCTGGTTGGGTACTGTAAGAGGTTCGGTGCGCTCGGGGAGCCGAGCGACACGATCAATACGTACAGACGTGCAAACGCGTTTTGCTTGGTCCGTACGAATGTGTAAAACGTTTGTGGAATACGTACACGGAAGGGGCACGTACGACGAAATCGATGCGGGGAGCATATTGTTTCCCAACCATATTTTATTGTTTCGAGGCGAGTCTCGTCTCAGTACTGACCGTGTATAAGGCCAGAAATGATATTGATCTACGGTCGAAAGTCGGCTTAGTACTGGGGACGTATTGGGTCAACTTAGAAAATTTTCGCTTGAGACCGGAGATAACAACCGCGCGATAGCAACACGCCGCGAGGGGATTTAGAAAGCTTTTTGCTCGAGCGGCGCCGGAGGTAACGACCGCGGCACGAAAGCAACACGCCGCGAGTGATATGGCAATCAGTGTTGTCCCCGTACTAGTACTCTGTGTCGGGCCAAAGTTGGCGCCAACGAACGTTGAACCGTTCAACGACGACGAGGATGACGACGATGACGAGGAGGTGGTAGACGACGGCGCCGCGGCGCCGTTGGTCGCCGCCGTTATCGCCGTCGCGGCGCCCTTGCGCAGCATGTAGTTGTCGGAATCGACGGCTAATAGTCGCGACATCGTGGACTTAGCCTTGTTGTCGTCGCCCGTACCGGGACTAATCTTTGGCGAGCCCTTCGGCTCGAGCCGGGAGGATATCGTTGTGATTTGCTTATCCAGCTCGTCTGTGCAGGAGCTGACGATCGTCGCCGTCGTCGTGCTCGTACTCGTCGTCGTTGACGTCGCCGTCATCGTCGTCGTCGCCGCCGCCGCCGCCGTCGACATCGATCCAGCAGAGAATAACTCCTGGATCCTGGCCTGGTGGTGCACTTGCGTCGCGGCTGCCGTAGCGGCCGCAACGGATGCGCTCGTTGCACGCTTCATCGTCGCCACGGTCGATCATCAATTAGCCCAATACTGGCAATCAGTGTTGTCCCCGTACTAGTACTCTGTGTCGGGCCAAAGTTGGCGCCAAGACTG